CCGCTGAGCCTGCGCGTCCAGAGCCTGTACTCCGCAACGGGAGAGGCAACAGCAGAGAGAGCAGCACACATAGCGCCAAAAAAAAATATATATATATATATATATATATATAAATATTTATGGTCGTTAAAAATTTTTTTTAAACTTTTGTTCCTTGCAGGATAAAGATAAAAATATTTTGCTTTAATTTGCAAGCAACCTGCCAGATGCGGTTATGGCCAGACTCTGCTGGGCATGAATGGGCCATTTTCTTTCTCTCTTTTGCAGCATTAAAGGCAGGTTGTACCCAGGGTTCTGAGCTACATCTGCTTCTATCCTTGCTTCTCCTCATGCCTTCCTTTCCTCCTGCTTTTCTGGATCCTGGGATTCCTCCCCACACATCAGCATCTCTCTTCTCAAACCCTCCTTTCTAGCCTGAGTGTATCCACATGTCGTTTACAACCTCTTTCACCAAAGCATCCTCCTTATCAGTTCACTCGTGTGGCTGGATGGTTCTGGAGTTGGATATGAGGAATTCGACTGCATTATCTAGTAGCTGGTTCCAACAGAATACAGGCCCAAAACTCCAAGACTTGGCAATGCCTGAAGAGCATCTGCTGTTTCACGGGCGGTGCCGTATCAGCCCATTTGTCAGTGCTTCTTCTGTCCCTTCTTTGCTAAGGCATAAGCCAGCAGATCGTTTTCCCAGGCAGGAGCATCACCTAGTGGTGAGTACAGGCAACCACGGTTCCATACCGTGGTCCTGTCCCTCCCCAGGGACTCTCGTTCAGGCAAAAGAACGCAGGTAGGGACTGTATCTAGTACCATTTGTGATCCTGTTTGGGGTCAGAGTGAAGAACAAACTTTATTATTTAAAACAAATGGTTTTCACCATGCTTTTTGATCCCACAAAAGCTGCAGACAAGTGGTATCAAACGAAAGATGGTTTCACAGGCTTCCTCATGTCTCCCTCTCCCTCCGTACCTCCCCTTCCTCGCTTCTCTTCACCGCAGCTGGGCATTGCATCACCTGGGGAACTTAAAAATGTATAGATTAGTGTCCTTTGGCCATGCAACATCTGGGACATACTTATGCTAAAGAAACTATTCGTTGTTTATCTGAAATTCAGGTTTAACTGGGTGTCCTGTATTTCTATTTGCTATATCTGAGAACCCTAACAAGGCCCCTTCCCAAACCAGTTAATTCAGAATCTCCCAAAATCATAAGAAGTTTTGTGAACGCTCCCCAGGCGATTCCACGGTCAGGCATGGTTGGAAACTAACGTCATAGAGCCTCACTCATTTAGAGTCACTTGCCTCGTACTCACAGAGCCCAGCTCGTCCTGGGCACAAAGCCTGCAAACAAAGCCTGCACAAAGCCTGCAAACGTCCGTCCGTGAAGCATTTTGTCTCTCCCATCAACCCCACCTGGTCTAAATCAGTATCTCCGTTTTCCTTAGTTTAGGATCGAAGGGAAGGGTTGATGGTTTATCACAGGATACTGAATAAAGTTCCCTGTGCTGTACACTAGGACCTTGTAGTTTATCCATTCTAAATGTAATTGTTTGCATCTACTAACCCTACACTCCCAGTCCATCCCACTCCCTCCCCCCTCCCCTTGGCAACCACAAGTCTGATCTCTATGTCTATGAGTCTGTTTCTGTTTTGTAGATAGGTTCATTTGTGCCGTATTTTAGATTCTACCTATAAGTGATATCATATGGTATTTGTCTTTCTCCTTCCAACTTACTTCACTTCCACCTCTTCTTTCTTCCAGGTCTATCTGCTTGTCAAAAACTGCTGGGAGGAAGATCCAGAAAAGAGGCCAGACTTCAAGAAAATCGAGAATACACTGGCCAAGATATTTGGGTAGGGCTGAAATTTTTACTTTTCCCTTCTAATTTCAGATTTTTCTAATAATAGCTGACATTCTGTGGCAGCTAAGTATGGGAATGTCTTTTCTAATGAAAGATCACAGACTACAATACCTGTCTCCAAAAAATTAAAATGGTATGGAGATGAACAGACCATTTTCTTGGGGGAATAATCACTTGAAACGTTAAGTACTGTACTCAAGGGCAAAACTTGCCTGATTCGAAAATAAATTCCGACTGATCTGTTAAAAATATAGTTCCCTGACCCTTCTGCAGGTAACTAGGATTTAGAAGTCTAGTACAAATCTGCACAAAACCCTGGATAATTCTGAAGATCAAAAAGTTTCTTACAGTTTTAAAATCTTAAGATCAGCAACTTCGGCCTTAAGCACTTGAGCCATGAATCGGATTATATAATTCAGGATCAAAAAAAGTAACATACAGTTATCCAGTAAGACTGAACTTTAGATTTCCCATGTTTTCGGTTAGCGTGCAGGGTGAGAAAAATAGCTCTGAGGTAAGAGTTAGGAGATCTAGTTTCTAGGCTAGGATCTAATAATAGCTAGTTGTGGGACATTGGGCAAAACACCCGAACTGGGTATCAATTTTGTTGCTGGTAAAATTGGAATGAAAAAGATGATTTCTGCAGTTCCTTCCAGCTCTTTCTGTAGTTCTCATCAAGTCAAAGACACAGATACTTAGTGAAGCTAATTTAATAAAGCCCAGGACTGAGGTGGGGTAGAGGGAAGACGGTGAAAGTGTGATCATTGATTGTTTGATCTAAACCGTCATATGTGGAAAAGGAGCAGGAAATAATAAATGATTTATTATTTTCATTCCTTCCCAGACCTGTTACTAAGAGCAGATGAGACTGTGTGTGTGACAGATGAAATGTAAGCTTGTGAAGATAAAACTAGGCCCCTGATATTTAGCCTTTAATATGGTGGTTCTCAACTTGGCTGCACACTGAAATCACCTGGGGAGATTTTTAAACTACTGATGCCAGAATCCTACCCTAGAGAGTCTGGTGTAATTGATCTGGGTGCAGGCTGGCATCAGGAGTTTAAATAAGCTCCTCAAGTGATTAAAATACACAGCCAAGGTTGAGGAAACTGTTTTAATTGAATCAGTTCATCATGAAATAAGATAATCCATATCTTACACCTGCTCCCTCACTCTTTCTACCCAGCTAGACTCCATAATGGTTTCCGGTAAGAATCTCCTAGGGACCTTGTTAAATATTTCTCTTAATCCCAAACCTAGCAGTTTCCAGTCATATAGGTCTGTGATAGGACTCAGAAAAGTACTCAATTTTTAACAAACATCCTGCCCCACACCAAGGGGATTATGATGTAGTCCATCTTTTTGAGTACAGAAATGGCAACTTGTAATCATTGTTGTGATAATGAAATGGTATGATCTATTCATCCCTTCACAACAGCTGTGTGGGACTCAGTGTGCCTCCCGACTGGGCTCTGCACCTAGGCGTGTCACACGGTCACGAGAAGCTGCCATCTCATCTAAGTTGTCTTGATCTAACAAAATACTCCAGAGTTAGGGCTTTTGCTCTAGGACCCTGATTCTGTCTGTATAGGAGATACTACATAAGGCTCAGCTTTACTTTTCTTGGTCCTTTTCTTATATTCCCCTTTATTGCAAGTTGCTCCTTTTTAAAATTTTAGAAAATATGAATAAGCAAACAAGAAAGTAAAAACATCACCTGGTTTTTAATAGATGACCACCAGTTTTCAAAAATTAAAAATGGGATGATAATTTTTGCTGTTTTATAAACTGGCTGTTTTCACTTAATAATATAGAGGTAGCGTCTTTGTGTGTACCACGATTCTAATTTGTGTTTAATGATACATTCATATTCCATCGTTTCATATTTTAATCACTTTTTGTTACACATTTAGGTTATTTTTAAATGTTTGCTTGTGAAGAATACTGTGGCTTTCTTTGTAGTTAACTTTCAGCACATGCATGATTGTTTCCTTCGGATAATTCTTAGAAGTAGGGTTGATGGGCCGATCGGCATAAGCATTCTTAAAGCTTATGACACATTTTACCAGATTTCCCTCCAGAAAGGCTGTAATGTATATTTTTCTTCCGTCTTACCTACATTGATTACCATTGTGCTCACATTTGTTTTTCTTTTTTTAAATGTTATTTCTATTTCTTTGATCCTTCCTCAGGTTAAAAATTTTTGCTACATTTGTTGGTCATTTTTATTCTTTCTTAGTTTAATTACCTGTTTATGATATTTGCCCATTGTTTTAATGGATGCTCATGTTTTCTTGATAATATGGAGACCTCTTCATCTATCACTACCTACAGCCTTTTCCATGACCAAAAAAATGAAACTTACATGGATACCTTGATCCGACGTCTGCAGCTGTATTCCCGAAACCTGGAACATCTGGTGGAAGAAAGGACACAGCTGTACAAGGCAGAGAGGGACAGGGCGGACAGGCTTAATTTCATGTTGCTCCCAAGGTAAGGAAGTCCTCCCGCGGACGTGATCTTCCAGACTCCGCAGACATGCTCAGCCCTTAAGGCTGAAAGCCAAAGCATATTTGTCTAGCATTGGTTTTCTCTGTATTTATATAGGATTGGTCCCTTTCGCATATTCTTCAACAGATTGTTGTGTTTAAAAATGCACGTATCCCCACTTTCACAGGCACTGCTCTAGATATACTTGAACAATTTAATATGTACAGAACATGTATCTATTCTGGATGCTAGTAAATAAATAAGAATCATACTGTATTAGGGGTTGTGACAACATTATTGAATTTTTTATGTATATAAACCATATGTTTTAGAGTGGTTTCTATCAGTCTTATTTTACACTTCTATGACACTGTGAACTAAAGAAGAAGAATTTTTTAAAATCAAAGGTGAAGAAAGAGACCAAAAAATTTGTCTGTTTCAATAATAAGCTATAGGTAGAATCTCTAAACCTTCAGAAGTAAACTGCTCACCTTCAGACTGAGTTGGAGTATATTAAAATAAATTATGCTATTTCCCACCAAACATTTTAATTTAGTGCTGATTTAAATATAACATGTTGTTACTTAGTGCATTTTAGTCAAGTTTATATTGTACAATAAAATATGAGAAAATATATTTTTTTAAAAATTCATGTACCTTGCTAAGCCTTTGCACTGTCTAAATAGCTAGAAGAAAGAGGTTGTTTTCCAGTGGCTGTGTGGTGCCATGGAAGGAGCATGGACGGTAGAGTTAAGGTGACCTGGGTTCCAGCATCTCTTGGCCACTTCTGCTAAGTGTGGGACCTTAGGCACTGTCTCTCCCCAGTCCAAAAATGGAAATTAAAGTTTTCCTACAGAATCTGTGAGCTTTAAGGCATTTTCAGGTACTGTTAGTTTCTTTGCTTTCTTCTGTCTGCCTCAAAGTAGAGGCCAAATTACAAGAAGTGGGAGCATCTTTAGTGGAGAAGGTATGGTCCCACTCTCCCCAGGTGTCTCATCACACAGGCATCTACGGGCTGATCTCTATTTTGTGAAACAATATTACAACCATGACAGAAGAGAAAGAAATTAAGGTTGAAATCCCAGTTTAACATTTTATAAGTGTTGGTCCTCAGGTAATAACTAAGAAATATTAAGATAAGCAAGAAATTAAAATGTGAACAGCTGGGAGATAGGTTGGACCAAGGGACCCACAACTGTCATAAGTGAGAGGTAATGCTCTCTGCTCAATGAGTGATAAACTGTCCTCTTAGATTAAGCATAAGCGAGGCAGTGTCGCATTGGGTGAAATCATGGAAACTGAGGTCAGCTAGGCCTGACTTCAAATCATGGTTCCACCACCTACTTGTGATCTGCAGCCTTGGACAAGTTACCTAAACACTGCAAGCCTCAGTTTCCCATCATAGGCTGGCTCAAAGAATCCTCTAAAATAATGTGCACAATATAAGGTACTTAGCACAGTGTCTGTAACGTCCATCGTTGTTATTACTATGCATAGTAGTTACGACTTTTATATATTACTTGCATTAATTATTTTGAACCCATGCTCATTGAGCATATCAGCTCTACATTAATAAAGGAATGATTTTGAGCTCATATGAGTTGTTTTCTAAATAAAGAAATAGTTTCTCTTCTACAAGCCTGAATGAGGAGGTAGGAGTTACACACATGCCCTGTTCAGCCATCTGGCCCTGAAGAAAGCCTAATGCAGAACCCACGTGCCCTCAGCCTGGCATTGGTACCCTGGGCATAGGCTGGAGCCCTTATTATTCACTTTAGAGATGGAGTTTCTGTTAGTGCTCTGTGAATGTTCTTTATGTAATGCATCAGTCCTTGCCTGGCCTTTCATGCTGAGTTGTGACAAAAACAACATCCTGATGATTTAGCTGCCTTCCCAGCTTTTTGATGGTTTTAACCAATAATGACACTCACGGTTTGAAACAGCTGGCTCAGCACCGTGGATTTTTTTCCTACCCTTGGTTCAGTGTGCCATGTTGACCACTAGACGGGAGATGTTCCTGTTGGATCACCAAAGATTGTAGAGCAAGGGCTGCAATACACAATGACTACAGGGCAAGTCACTTTGATCATTTATATACAAGTTCTTTATATTTGCGAAAGAAAACTAAAATATACATGCATGACACCTAGAAGAATCCAAAATAAATATTACAGCAAAATTGTAAATAAGTTGCAGGTAGGAGCCAGATACTACTTAGACACTTATTTCACAGTACTCCTGGGGGTTTTGAAACAGGTTAAAATAGAAGTTTTTTCTACCTATGGAAAAAACTACCTACCTGTGGGAAGCACTTCTAAGACTCTGTATACTGTGTCAGCAAAAACCTGTTATCAAAGTTCACCAGGTTAAGTCATAGCCCTTCCTTCATTTATCCACCAACATTAGTTCCTTTCTCAGGTAACATACTATTTTCTAAGCTCATATGACTTTTCAGCTATAAGCAGTAAAATGAAGGGCAAAGATGGCGAAATATCCAATCTTATCATTAGTCTATGTAGCCTCCAAATAATCTGCACCCTTCTACGGGGCACGTAAAGAACCACCACCCCAGACGGGCCCCTGCGAATCTAACCAGCCACACGGCAGGGATGGTTTTCAAGTTCCCAAATTTCATCATCGTACCAACTGAAGGGACCTCCCTTGATGCTCTGAAGGTTTTCTAAATGAGTTTTGGGAATGCTGGTGGTTGATTGGCTGTCTGTTTTCCAGGAAAGTGCCAGACCTTCTTCCTTTACTACAGCCAGCACACCTCCAAATCTTCCCCATCACCCCGAGGATCCGAGGCCTGGGTTGTGCAGGAATGTGATGCAATTACAAGGCTGAAGGATGGGAGTTACTGAGTTCCAGCACTGGCTCTGCCCTCAGTGGCTCTGGGACCTTGAGCAAGTCATACTTTTTTATTTGGTTGGGTTTTTTTGGCTGCACCGTGCAGCTTGTGGGATCTCAGTTCCCCAACCAGGGATTGAACCCAGGCCCTGGACAGTGAAAGCATGGAGTCCTAACCACTGGGCCACCAGGGAACTCCCCATACTTTCTTTTTAAGCCTCAGCTTTCTCATCTGGAAAAGTAAGGGATTTTATGACCTCTGTCGTACCTCCCAGCTTGCAGGCGGTCCATACTCTGGTCCTTTACCAAGTGATCCCAAAGGCAGACAAGGAACACGCAGCCTCATGTCAGCACCCCTCCACCCCATTTACTCAATGAAAAGGCAACTTGGCACATAAAGGAAGCGTGGCATCTCTTCTTGTGGTTCTTCTCTCTTAATTCTGAGCCTAATATACTGCCCTTTAGGTCTGTTCAACAGAGATAGTCTAAGTTGCTTCTATTCGACTTGTGCAGTTTTAGCAGAATTTTAACTTGTTTACGTGGTAACTGATGTTGCTTTTTAAAGGACCCAATTCGGCTCCAAAATGTTTCAAATAAATCCGGGTTCAGAATATATCAAAATTCATTTTAAATACATTATTTCTTCATAGTGATATTAAACAAGGCCGTGTTAAATATGCCAGGGAAGTAAAACTATTTACTGATGAGAAAGTCAGATCTGATAGCTATCGTGAGTCAAGCTCTTACATCAATGACACACTCTCCTTCTCGGCTTCTGGATGTAGAGCTCTATCTAGAAGAAGCTATCAATAGAGAGGTAAAAAGTGAGCAAGTATTAGGATTGTGTAGGTATTACAGTTATGTGTACATGTATATTAGTGTTATAATCAAGTATTAAATTAATACTGAACCTCCTATTCATCTGAGGTCAAATACATGTGTTACGTGTGTGTGTAGTATATTCATACATTTGGTTTATGCAAACTATCTTTGCTTCCTAGCCACACAATTCACTGGAAATCCCCAATTTTAGAATTCCTGGTGGACAATTAGTACAGCCTCAAAGATTTCTGTAGGGGAAGGAGAAATTTGCTGAAGTTGAAGGCCTTGTTTTTCGCTTCCTCATCTAGGCTGGTGGTCAAGTCTCTGAAGGAGAAAGGCATAGTGGAGCCTGAACTATACGAGGAAGTTACAATCTACTTCAGTGACATTGTGGGGTTCACCACCATCTGCAAGTATAGCACCCCCATGGAAGTGGTGGACATGCTCAACGACATCTATAAGAATTTTGACCACATTCTCGATCACCACGACGTGTACAAGGTAACCACTTCACCTAATAGGCTGAATGATGGTTCAGCCCCAGGTCAGCAGATCCAGAATTGGTTGTTTCTGTTATTACAGTCCTCCGTCGCTACCCACTAGCCCCTCTGCCCCAGGATTGGTTCCAGGACCCCCATGGATCCCCAAATCCCCAGATGCTCAAGTCCCTTGTATAAAATGGCATATTTGCATATGACCTATGTACATCCCCATGTACTTTAAACCATCTGTAGATTACTTATAATACCTAATACAATGTAGATGCTATATAAATAGTTGCTGGAGTGTGGCAAATTCAAGTTTTACTTTTTGGAACTTTCTGGAATTTTGTTTAAATATTTTTGATTCATGGTTCATTGAATCCACAGTGCGGAACCTGTGGATACAGAGGCCAGCTCTACTCAGGTCTTGTCCTTTGTAATTTAAGATTTAATGAATTAGTGGTTGAATCTGAGCTAAAAGTGAAGGGAAGTGGAAGAATAAGAAGGGTTGTAAGTCGAAATGACCTTGTGACTTTAAGGACCAATATGAAAGACACAAAATACAGTCCAGCAGGAATGAATTTGGGGTGTTAAATTTAGGGAAAGTGGTTTCCTCTTCAGTCATCTTCACAAAATGGGCAGTGTTTAGGCTGATTATGAATGAAGGAGAGAAGGTACCAGAGTTATTCTCAGGAGAATTGGAATCTTTTGTCATTGTTGCTGAAGTAGCAAGCATCGTTCGAAGAAGAGTAAAGAACAGAGCTGGATCTGTTGCCTGACCAGGATGCCGGCCAGTTCCGGGCTGATAATGTCTGAATCGGAAGAGTAAAGGAGAATTGCATTCCCACATTTTCATGTTGGAAAAGCAGCAGAGCATGTGGAACAAGTAACTTCAGAATTAGAGCTCTTTATTCAAATCCCAGGTTGCCCCACCTCATTGCATGACCTCATAAAATATAGTATTTAATTTCAGCAAGTCTCAATCTACCTATCTGTAAAATGGCACAATAATACCTAACTCAATGGATTATTTTGAAGATTACTGAGATAAACAATATGACTAAAACTCTGTATGCTTAAGTTTAGGGGTCATTCATGTAACAGTCTGTTATGATGGTTTTACCCACAGGGAGGACTTCCTTTTAGGATTTATCTTAGCCCAGTCCTCACCCTATGTAGATCAGAAAGCCATGCTAACAAGAGTTCCCGTTGAATAGAAAATGATTATGCATTTTTTTTTTTTCTTTTGCGGTATGCGGGCCTCTCACTGTTGTGGCCTCTCCCGTTGCGGAGCACAGGCTCCGGACGCGCAGGCTCAGCGGCCATGGCTCACGGACCCAGCCACTCCGTGGCATGTGCGATCTTCCCGGACCGGGGCACGAACCCGTGTCCCCTGCATCGGCAGGCGGACTCTCAACCACTGCACCACCAGGGAAGCCCGATTATGCATTTTAGAGATACTCAGCAAAATGAAGTTAACTAACCAACACACGTGAACTATGTATATGATTATGAAAATATTAAAAGGGAGAACATTTATCAAAGAATAAATAAGTCTACTACCTATTGCAAGAAAAGTGATTGGAATCATAGTACAAGAAAGTGTATTATGTCTTAGAGGAACCTATAATTATTATTATTTATTTTTTTAACATCTTTATTGGAGTATAATTGCTTTACAATGGTGTGTTAGTTTCTACTTTATAACAAAGTGAATCAGCTATACGTATACATATATCCCCATATCCCCTCCCTCTTGCGTCTCCCTCCCACCCTCCCTATCCCACCCCTCTAGGTGGTCACAAAGCACCAAGCTGATCTCCCTGTGCTATGTGGCTGCTTCCCACTAGCTATCTGTTTCACATTTGGTAGTGTGTATATGTCGATGCCACTGTCTCACTTCATCCCAGCTTACCCTTACCCCTCCTGGTGCCCTCCAGTCCATTCTCTACATCTGTGTCTTTATTCCTGTCTTGCCCCTAGGTTCATCAGAACCTTTTTTTTTTTTTTTTAGATTCCATATATATGTGTTAGCATACAGTATTTGTTTTTCTCTTTCTCACTTACTTCACTTTGTGTGACATACTCTAGGTCCATCCACCTCGCTACAAATAACTCAATTTCGTTTCTTTTTATGGCTGAGTAATATTCCATCATATATATGTGCCACATCTTTATCCATTCATCTGTCGATGGACACTTAGGTTGCTTCCATGTCCTGGCTATTGTAAGTAGAGCTGCAATGAACATTGTGGTACATGACTCATTTTGAATTATGGTTTTCTCAGGGTATATGCCCAGTAGTGGGATTGCTGGGTCGTATGGTAGTTCTATTTTTAGTTTTTTAAGGAACCTCCATACTGTTCTCGGTAGTGGCTGTATCAATTTACATTCCCACCAGCAGTGCAGGAGGGTTCCCTTTTCTCCACACCCTCTCCAACATTTATTGTTTGTAGATTTTTTGATGATGGCCATTCTGACTGGTGTGAGATGATATCTCATTGTAGTTTTGACTTGCATTTCTCTAATGATTAGTGATGTTGAGCATCCTTTCATGTGTTTGTTGGCAGTCTGTATATCTTCTTTGGAGAAATGTCTATTTAGGTCTCCTGCCCATTTTTGGATTGGGTTGTTTGTTTTTTTGATATTGAGCTGCATGAGCTTCTTGTATATTTTGGAGATTAATCCTCTGTCAGTTGCTTCGTTTGCAAATATTTTCTCCCATTCTGAGGGTTGTCTTTTCGTCTTGTTTATGGTTTCCTTTGCTGTGCAAAAGCTTTTAGGTTTCATTAGGTCCCATTTGTTTATTTTTGTTTTTATTTCCATTTCTCTAGGAGGTGGGTCAGAAAGGATCTTGCTGTGATTTATGTCATAGAATGTTCTGCCTGTGTTTTCCCTAAGAGTTTTATAGTGTCTGACTTTACATTTAGGTCTTTAATCCATTTTGAGTTTTATAATTATTTTTTGTCAAATAGTTTATAAAAAATGATAAGAGCCAAAGATGACTTTTCTGGTATTTGGAGGTGTTCCTAAAATTATATAAAGCCATTCAGATTATTTCAACATTGATAGAATTGTCATTACATCTGGATGATTCATATTATTATAAAGTACTTTCATATGGTTAAAATCCTTTATAGTGGGGACTTCCCTGGTGGTGCAGTGGTTAAGAATCTGCCTGCCAATGCAGCCGACGTGTGTTCGAGCCCTGGTCTGGTAAGATCCCACATGCCGCGGAGCAACTAAGCCCGTGCGCCACAACTACTGCAGCCCGTGCACCTAGAACCCGCGCTCCGCAACAAGAGAAGCCACCACAATGAGAGGCCTGTGCACCGCAACGAAGAGTAGCCCCTGCTCGCCACAACTAGGGAAAGCCCGTGCGCAGCAACGAAGACCCAACACAGCCAAAAATTAATTTAAAAATTAATTTAAAAAATATTTTAAAAAATCCTTTATAGTTGTTTTATCAGCTATTTCACTAGGCTATAAAAACCCTGAAGAAATTAGCATAGAACTGGTCTTGAACTAGTCCCAGAAAAAGCGTACAGGGCCATGCTCATACTGAGTTCTCGAAAATTTTTGTATTTTTATGTGACTAACTGCTTCTGTTTGATTTCTTGTGCCATTAGAAGGGGCAGATTCACTAATGAGAAACTACTTCCACAGGTGGAAACCATTGGTGATGCCTACATGGTGGCTAGTGGTTTGCCTAAGAGAAATGGCAACCGGCATGCAATTGACATCGCCAAGATGGCTTTGGACATCCTCAGCTTCATGGGGACCTTTGAGCTAGAGCATCTTCCCGGCCTCCCAATATGGATTCGCATTGGAATTCACTCTGGTATGTAGTTGAGCATTGTAGCAATCGAGAACCGTATGTACTTCTGTGCACCGACTAAATCAGAAAGGTTAAAGGATCTTCAGACATGATCAATTTTCACATGAGGTTTACTCTTGAATCCTCCTGCCAAATACGAAGTCGAGTTACACATCCTGACATAATTAGACCTATAATTAGTCTCTAGAGAGTTCTAGGAAACGACAACCATGACAGCACTCATGGAACGATAAACACCAACCACAAACTGAAATACCAAGCTCCAGACTTCCTATTCAAGCCACCCTATTTACTATGTCATTTATCTCTTCCCCATTCCCTCCCTCTCCCCCACCCCCAACTTCTGTGTATTTTTTTTCCACTAAAATATTACAGTATCTTAAATGGATTATGTTATCTACAGGGGGAAAACATATCTGTTCAGATCCCTACAATAAAAGGGCGTTTATGTTCCCCCAACCCCTCAGTGGTACAGAAAGTACATGGATCACTTTAAAGACCATGAAACTTATCCAACCTTGAATGTAGAGATTTGAGAAGATGAGTTACGAATACAGCAAGTCCCCTACATACGAACCTTCAAGTTGTGAACTTTTAAAGATGCAAACATGCGTTCGCGTGTCCAGTCATGTAAGTTAGTTCACATGTCTGGCGTATGTTGTCACATGCGTGCATCCTCTACAAGTGGCTGTGCTTTTGTGTCCTTTACTGTACAGCACTGTTTAGAGTACAGTAGTGCAGTATCTTTATTTCAAGCCCAGGATGTCCAGAAGTGAGCGTAAAAGCAGCGATGACGTCGCTGGTACTACTGTGCTTTTCAAGGTACTGTACTGTAAGATTAAAAATGTTTTCTTTATTTTTTGTGTTTGTTTTTTATGTATTATTTGTGTGAAAAGTATTATAAACCTATTACAGTACAGTACTATATAGCCAATTGTGTTAGTTGGTTACCTAGGCTAACTTTGTTGGACTTACGAACAAATTAGACTTAACACGCTCTCGGAACAGGGCTCGTTCCTATGTAGGGACTTATGGTATTACAAAATATGGTGGTAGAGGAACTCAGAAGTCATCTAGATTAATCTTTTACAGGGCATAAATTATAGTTTCCAAGATAAGTAATAATATAACCACGTTTAGAACAAATAATCCCAGGACTCCCTGAAAACTCAGTATTTTCAAAGTCAGCTCACTCCTTTATCAAATAGTTGTAATTGTTAGACAATCTTTCCTTGTGTTAAAGTAAATCACATCTCCCTATAATTTCTTGTCATTGCCCCTTTATCTGCCCTCCAAGCCTCACAGAAGACACAGGGTAGAGAAAACCCAAGAGGTCACTCCAGGCTTTGTGGTGAGGGCCAGACAACTGCATTTGCAAAAGTCATCCTGTATCCACCGTGCCTAGCACAGAGTCAGACAGTAAATATTTGGTTGAGTAATGAATCACTGAGAGTCTCAGAGTGACAGTAACTAGAAGTTAAGAACTGCTGCCACATCTTTGACAGCCAGGGACATAGCTGTGGCCTTCCCCAGTCATGTCACAACCAAATTGTCGTAGATGTTTACATGTACACATAAGGGAACTGTTCGGCATCTCCCTGACCCATCACAAATTGTCGGGCCTGGAGGAAGGGACAGCAGCAGAACTGATGGAACCAGGGAGAGAGAATGGAGCTCTGGGTCCTGGTCCCCTCTCTTTTCCTCTGTGACCTACTCAATGCCTGAGTGACTGCCAGGGCCCAGGCACTGTCACATTGGGCTGGAATGAGAGTAAATAGTAGACACATATACCGGGACGGGTTTATCCCTGAGAAATTAAAAGGTTGCAGTTAAATATTGATAGTTGAAGACAAAACATAACATCTGCAGGCATTTTCCACCTCCAGGCCCTTCCCAGTTTTATCATTCCATTTTTGAAGTGACTAGTCAAGACACAGCCTTGGGAAGCTCAGAGACCTTTTTTTTTTTTTTTAATTTATTTTATTGAAGTATAGTTGATTTACAATGTATTAGTTTCTGGTGTATAGCAAAGTGATTCATTTATACATACATATACTAGTTTGCATCTGCTAATCCCAAACTCCCAGTCTGTCCCTCCCCTCGTCCCCCCTTCCCCTTGGCAACCACAGGTTGTTCTCTATGTCTGTGAGTCTGTATCTGTTTCGTAGATAAGTTCATTTGTGCCATATTTTAGATTCTGGGAAGCTCAGAGAGCTTCTAATCAGGTAGCTGCTGCTGTTTTTGCTTGTTTTTTATTTCTCTGTGCCTTGTTTTGTTTTTTGCATTGAACCTAACAGGGGAGGGTTCAGTATTTTTATTTTTTCAGTGTGCATAAACAATGAACAACTCAATGTTCAATTTTTTCAGTGTTCATAAACACAGAGTATTTGTAGGATGAATCTATCAAGAAACTCATAGAGGTCAAAACCCAGTCAGCCAACCATAAAATCAATAGTTACCTCTATCCAAAACCCGATTTTGCAGTTTCTGAGTTAATCTTTAACTTCGAAAATTTTAACTCCTTGCATTCCGTCATTCCACACAAATGCTTGCATGAGCAAACCCTTCTTTCCTACCTGATATGCCACTGTGCATCGCCTTGCCTTGGCTTTTGTTCTTCTTTTTGGAGTATCCTTGTGCGACAGGCTCCCCATTCTGTATTCACATGGTGCATGAAATGCTCAGGGAAGAAGATGCCAAGTCCTTGTCTTCTGGGTCTTCCATCATCAGGCCACCAATGCCAAAAAGCCTACTCTGACTTAAATAAAAATAAAATAAAACAAACTTGGGCCACTGAGCCTTAGAGTGTACTGTGCTCTCCAGCAGTTCAGAGCTCCGGGCTGTGTGGCTGGAAGGGAAGCAAGCAGTGGGATCGTCTTCATCCTTCCTGAGAGCCTTCTATTTAATATATTAAAGAGGGGGACTTCCCTCGTGGTCCAGTGGTAAAGAATCCACCTTAACAGTGCAGGGGATGCGGGTTCGATCCCTGGTCAGGGAACTAAGATCCCACATGCTGCAGGGCAGCTAAGCCTGCTGAGCTCACGCACCTCAACTAGAGAGCCCGCGTGCTGCAAACTACAGAGCCCAGGCGCTCTGGAGCCCACGCGCCACAACTAGAGAGAGAAAACCCACGTGCCATAACTAGAGAGAAGCCCGCGCGCTGCGACAAAAGATCCCGTGTGCCACAACTAAGACCCAGTGTGGCCGAAAATAAATAAAATAAATAAATAAATAAATCTTTATATATGTGTGTGTGTATATATATACATATATATATACATATGTATACATACATATATACACATATATATACATATATATATATACACACACACATATATATATAATCTCAAGGAGCACTTTACACCTCTGCAGCCTAGATCTCTGGATGCCTTGTTTCTTGCCAATGCGCTTCTCTGTGCTAGAGCAAAATACTTTCTGAAAGCGTGATTTGAATAACGGTGCTCCCCCAGTGAATACATTGACTTAAAGCAAAAGTCACAGGTCGCATTTCCCACCTTGAACCGCTTCTCCATGAAATGAGGTATCGCGCGTCGTGACCCTGAGAAGAGGCCTGCCCCCCCCCCCCCCCCACTCCACTGTGTGACTTCTGTTGCCTCCACCTCTTGCTTTCTGTCCCTCTCAGGTCCCTGTGCTGCTGGAGTTGTGGGCATCAAGATGCCCCGTTATTGCCTGTTCGGAGATACAGTCAACACAGCCTCGCGGATGGAATCCACTGGCCTCCGTAAGAAGGGAGACTGCTTTTTTTAGAGGACAGAGATTCTGTCTTCCAGCAGAGGGGAATTGTAGGATAAAATGCAGAATAAGTTCCAGTGAGATGAAGAATGACTCTTCACACTGACTGGCCGTGAGCCTGGGTCAATCCAGTCCTTGCTACAAATTGCCGTTTACTGATAACTTTTTTTTTTTGCGGTACGCGGCCCTCTCACTGCTGTGGCCTCTCCTGTTGCGGAGCACAGGCTCCATGGCTCACGGGCCAGCCGCTCCGCGGCATGTGGGACCTTCCCACACCGGGGCACGAACCCGCGTCCCCTGCATCGGCAGGCGGACTCTCAACCACTGTGCCACCAGGGAAGCCTTACTGATAACTGTTTTATTCTTCCTTTTTGACTCAGTTTTAGACTGTTATCATTAATTTGGGTTCATTTGCAATGCATTCAGGCATGCTCTACCTGGAATAGCCATGAAATTTAGCATAGATCCATGTAAGTTAAACAGAAATTCCATTTAACAGAAATCTATTCAGGCCAAGGGTATGAACAGAAGAGCCTGAAGGGAAGGGCTAATGATGCCATAGCTTCTGCTTGTCTCTATATTACCTGCAGACAGGAGGGAGTTCCTAGGACATTTAAAGTACGATGGTAGTTACACATATAGCCCGTAAAGCTGTGGCGTTGGACTTGGTTCCTGGAAGGAGCCTGATATCTGTGGCAGCGGCCGCCATTTACATGGCCTCACAGGCATCAGCTGAGAAAAGGACCCAAAACGAAATTGGAGATATTACTGGTGTTGCTGATCAGACAGTCCTACAGACTAATCTGTCCTCGGGCCCCAGATCTGTTTCCTACAGACTTCAAATTTGACACCCCTGTGAACAAACTACCACAGCTATAAATTTAGGCAGCTAATGTCAAGCTCCTGTGAACACTGAACTTTGCCCGATGTACATAGCCTATACAAAGTGCTGGATTGAGCCTTTAATAAGGAAAAACGAAAGACATGGTATGCATTCCAGGGCTAAATTTTTTTTTAGGTTTACTTTTTTTTTTTAATTTATTTATTTTTATTTATTTTTGGCTACGTCAGGTCTTCGTTCCTGCACGCAGGATTTCTCTTAAACTGAATAGAAATTCAGTGGGTTAGATACAGAGTATATACCCTGGTTCACTTTCCTATTCCTCTTTTATTTGGTTTTCCTTGGAATTGGCTTTAATAAAGAAAATGATAAGTATTTGTTATATGCAAAAGCTTATATTGCGTTTGTCTGGCAAGGTAGAGGCAGTGTGTGTTACATCTAGTAAATGCTCAATAAAGACCTATGACTATGATAATATTAGAAATATATACAAGAGAGAAAGAAAGCATTGGTAATGTGTGTGCGGGCTTACAAGACACTGGTGGTAGTATGGTATTTTGGCAGTCTACTGACAACCTGATACTGGTTTGAACTAGAAAATCACGGTGTAAAGGAAATAATAAGGTTGGGGCCAAACAGACGGGTTAAAATCATAACTATACAAGTCACTGTCTGTGTAAGCTTGGGAGGAAGTTACCTCATCTTTCTAGGCATCAGAAAGTTGAAGATACAAATTGAGGATGGGATTCCAACCTTGCTGGAAGTGTTTCTGGAAGGAGTTGAAGTGATGTGTTTTAAGCATTGAGCAGCCCTCTGGTACATGGTAGGCAGGCAATACGGGGTTTTCATTATTCTTACTGTTGTTACTGTCTGTGGCACCCAGAGTGGGAAGGTGTTATATAGTAATCAATCAGTGAATGAGATTGCCCTCACCACTTGTTTGTTAGAAGGATAACCGTTACCCCGGAAGAGTAAAATACGAGAAAATCAAGACTCTATAACTCTCTCCAGAATCTTCACCTTGCCGCCAACACTTTAGCTACTTGTTGGAATGTGTATATGGAGACACCAGAGCAAATTCCACCTTTTAAGCTCAGCACCACAGGCTAGATCCAAAGCCAGGCCCAGGGGCTCCCACTCTGAGCTGGGATGAGAATTTACGGGGCACAACCTAAGGAGCCCCCTCACTCAGGACCCTCTCTCTTCCCATGTGCGATAATAGTTCTTATCTCACTGATGATATTTTTAAGTATTTTTACTACAGTATCTAAGCTGCCAAGAGCACCTGTAATAAATATTCTGGCTCAAGGGGAAACAAATGGCGCCATATAATAGCTTTCAAAACGGGTGAGATTTTCATTGATCTATTTTGCATTTCCAGCCTTGAGAATTCATGTGAGTGGCTCCACAATATCCATCCTGAAGAGAACGGAGTGCCAGTTCCTGTATGAAGTGAGAGGAGAAACGTACTTAAAGGTAAGGAGTCCACAGAGACAGCACCCAGAAAAAAGCTCTCACCAGCACCTGGGGGATGCCTCCTTTGAGACTGGACATCCAATGTTCAGTATATTGATGAGCATGAGAATGAAGGGTGCTTTCCTGCTCTCCCCGCAATGATCACCCACCCTCCCCTGTAGGAGAAGCTACCACCGAAGACTATAAACTCAGAACATCCCTTTACTCCAAAGACCCCTCCTGATGTTTTGAACTATGGCCACTACGTTATAAAATGCTTTCACCATTTCTTTCACCTGTATCCAGGTTTGTCCCCGGTTCCCCCTCCACTCCCAAGAGCTAAGTCTATTGCAGGACTACTTTAGTCAAAGCCCCCCTCTCCCCACTTATGTCCTCGCTTTTACTGCAAGATGCTGCTACTCTCTAAGCCCACCTTTCTTGCTCTACTTTTCTGCGGTTCTGGACCAGTGAACCTCAAGGTGTGGCTCCACATTCTGACTCAGCATCGCCCGGGCACTTGTTACAATGCAGATGCCTGGACTCCCCCCACAGGCCTGCTGAGTCAGACTCTCCTCGGGTGTAGATCAGAAATCTGTACTTGAAACACATACTCTATGTGACTGTGATGCGCAGGGAGATGTAAGAATCCCCGTTTCAGATGCGCCATGCTGCCCCGCACATTTAGAACAGCAGCCCTCGAGAGCCACCGCGCGTCTCCAGGTGGCCCACCGGCTGCTAGTTGAAGGCAACCGCACTCACAGTTGGTCTGAAGCCAATGATCGGCCAAGACCACCTGCCTCTACTAGTCATAGGGCCGCTGGCCTCTACTCTGTGACAACTGCGAGAGCCTCCTTTTAGGTAGTTGTGTCCAAACATCACACTTGCTTTTTTAATTCTCCGTAAATACATTTTCTGCAGGGTGTTCCCCCCAAAACAGAAGTGGTCTAAGGATTATTACAGTCCAAACAGAGCCCCAAACCACAATTGTTTTGAATGAGTGATTTTTAAAAATATAAATATCCAGTCTCCTTTTCAAATACAAGCTCTAGCAAAAACAGAATTGCCTGTGTTTCCCTTTATTTTATAGCCTCCAGATGGGCCCAGCCAGTGGTACTTAGTGAATGTTTATTACAATGCACATGCGTTTATAATTTACACACTTAATGTGGGGAAACTGTGGCACAAGTTTCGTGGCAAAGTTTTGGGACAAAAAGGGCCGGAATAAAACGTAGACAACAGAAACCAGTTGGATTCGTTGGCGTAGCAGGATTGCAGATGGATGTCCTTCCTTCTTCATTTAGAGCTCTTGTGCTGTTGCTGTGGTGATATTTTGAAATATCTTTTGGGAAAAAAGAAAATTCTACTTTGAAAAAACACGTCTGGTGGATGAGAGACTTATTTTTTAACAGGCACTTAGAAATAAAGATCGGTCTACAGATAATGCAAATCATATCAGGAACAGGTGCTGTCCTAAAATATAGGCACTGATGAGAAACTCAGAGGTGAAATGTCTTTTGGAAACAGATACTTGTCAGAACGGTGGGTCAGAACGATGGGCTAGAGTCGACTGTCTTGGTCTCCATGGTACACACCTTTCTTTTCTCTCTAGGGAAGAGGAACTGAGACCACCTACTGGCTGACCGGGGGGAAGGACCAGGAGTACAACCTGCCAACCCCTCCAACCGCGTAAGCTGCCTGCGGCTGTGATGGGGAGGGGTGGGGGAGGGGAGGTCTTGGCTTTGTAAGTTGTGCTACGTGCAGCCGGTTTAACTGTGGTCAAGTGCTTTGCCAGTGGCAGTGATGCAATGAATACAAGGTGAGAGACTACACACGTGACAAAGCTTGGAAACCTCCCTTCTCTGACTGCTAGAGGGTTTCAGGTCTGCTCAGGAGACCAGAGGACAGTTTAGGGCTCCCTCCCTGCCCCTCTGGTCGTAACAAAAGTAGAGCAGCGGAACACACTGTACTGCATTGCCTCCTGTGCCTGCAGTGCTCTGCCGTCACCCGATGAAACAGGAACGCCCCCAGCTCCAGGACTGCGGGTCTGGGTCTTCACATGGAGCATGTGTTCCCCGTGAGATGAGGAAGACAGGTTTCAGGTCCAAGTAACCGGTTTCAGGTTCCCCTAAAGATGACTCAAATGGTCTTCCAGTTGCACCTTGGCCACTGCGATCAGTCACTGTGGCCATTGGAATGGCTTTTGCTGTGGTGGAGAAACCCTGTTTTGCAGACTCCTAGACGCAGGACCCAGACACATGGGGAAGACCGTAGAGATGCCAAGACAACCCAGATCATCCCTGGGTCACGGGGGACCTGGCCCCTTATTAAGAGCACCCCAGGTCCCTTCTAAACTCTTGAAACCCTCCACCTGTTGTGAGCCCTCCCCAGACAAGCCACACTCCTAGGAAGGTGTGGGACCAATGTGTTTTCAGAGTTTCGTGGTGGCAGGGTCCTAGCACCCTCCTGGCTTCCTTTCCCCTCCCTGCAGAGGTATGTGTAAACCTAACCGTGCCTCCGAATTCCGCAGCATGTTGTTTCACTTTGAAATTGAAATATATCAATAATTTCCTGCTCGAAATATATTCTGCTTTTCCTACAACTACACAGAGCAGGGATGACAGATCTTTAAGCTCATCAAGGGAAGGCAAGGATCATTTTGTGTTCTCTGGACTTCCTGTGTTCAGCCCAGAATAGGTGTTCAACAAGTATTCAGTGAATGGAACTGGCGGTTCTGGAGCTGAGGGATAGTCTGTATGAATTGCTGAGAAGATCCGTTTTCCCTCCGCACTCTCTCTCCAGGGAAAACCAACAGCGATTGCAAGCCGAGTTTGTAGACATGATCGCCAGCTCTTTACAGAAAAGACAGGCCTCAGGGATAAGGAACAGAAAACCAACCCGGGTAGCCAGCTACAAGAAGGGCACCCTGGAATACTTGCAGCTGAACACGACAGACAAGGAGAGCACCCATTTTTAAACCTCAGTGAAGTCTAAGGGCTCGGGCAAACTAAGCCCAGCTGCACTTGGGCAGGTGTCCTGAAGCTTCCATTTCCCTGACAGCTCAGTGGAACGGAAGAAGACTTAGATGCAACCTCTTCAGCCTCGGCTGCCCTGTCTGGAACACAGACTTGCTTCTGTGAATCAGATGTATGCCCTCAGTGCGATAATTACCTTTTATTCTGGGGCCCAATCTCAACAGTTACCCCAGGGAGCTTTGACCTGGGAAAGAAGAGGAATGAATGTACCATCTCGAAGTTGAGGAGATTTTGTTCTTATTTCGCCTATTTTTGTTTTGTTTTGTTTACTGGCTCTTTTTCCTTCTGTATTCGTGATAGGATTCTTTTTTTAATTGTTGCAATTATATTTTAAGTACTTTGTCTCCATTAAATTATATTTAACTCATAATTTTTGCAGAAAATATGCAGTATATGAGGTAGGAATAAAAGTTAAGTGTTTCCTGGGTCTGTGGATGTGTTTCCATCTTTTCCACCCATTTTTCCTGGAATGCACCATCCATCGCCTTGCACTCACTGAAAAACTGACTTAATTCCCCTGCACTGAAGGAGGGCAAAGCTAGCATCATTGCTCAGGGATACGAACCTTGACGTTTATCATTACCTGTGTGCATGTGGTAATTTTGTGTCTAGCCCTCTACCATAGGAGCTGGGCTAAATTCAAATCCTGTTTACCTGTAAAGACACATTACTTCAAACTCTTCAAACCCCCTTTCACATCCAGCAGCAATCTCTTGCCCCTTCTAATGGCACTCCAGCATGACTCGTCTGCTTGAAATCTCTGGGGAAAGGACAAAAGTCAGGTTGAGTAGACTAGTATCAGCAAGGGCAAGAACAAGCATGTAACACCCTGGCACTAAACCACTAAAACAACTGCTCTAACCACATCATGCCTCCCCAGGCCTCTGCCACAAAAGCCACCCCAGAGATTAAGAAACAGGTTATGTCTTCTCCATCACCTGGAAAAGCAGACAATCAAAAAGTAATAGGGCTTCCCTGGTGGCGCAGTGGTTGAGAGTCCACCCGCCAATGCAGGGGACACAGGTTCATGCCCCGGTCCAGGAGGATCCCACATGCTGCGGAGCGGCTGCGCCCGTGAGCCGTGGCCACTGAGCCTGCGCGTCCGGAGCCTGTGCTCCGCAACGGGAGAGACCACAACAGTGAGAGGCCCGCGTACCGCAAAAAAAAAAAAAAAAAAAGTAATAAATTATCTCCTGATATATAGGTTGAACACGTAATATGCAGCAAGAGTCCTTCCTTGGAATCTGGAGGTTTATAATCTGTCTGTGCCTCTGTGTCCAGCACAAGGAGACTTTATACACAGGGATGAGGTCGTGGCATGGAAGTTCTTGGTCATTCATTCATTCAGGAAACATATTTGACCTTCTCCTTTTATTCCAGGGACTGGGCTTAATGTAGGCGGTAGAGACATACAGTCTCTGCCAAACCTTGAATCTTATAGGAGAGAGAGAAATGGAAAGAGATAAGTGGGTGTGGGGACCAAGCAGCATCCTTGACAACAGGCAAACTTAGCAACTCTAAGGTCGACCAGAAAATTGTTTTTAATGCTCACAGGGCATTGATGAAAAACTTCTCAGTTGAAGGCTCCAGTGTTTGTATTCTATTATAGACTCTACGTGGTTGTGAAATATTTCTTGACCTTTAAACAGATGTGTGGCCTCGGCTTGACCACTTAACAGTGTGGATGTATAACACCAGTGATGACAGTGACTAAGAATAGTACCGGCCAAATTCCTTCTCTGCTCTTTTCTAGCTGTAAATTAATTAATGTCTCCAAGCCTCTGTTTCATTAATAAATCATTAATCATAATATCCACCTCAAGGAGTTGTTATAATGATTTTTTTTAATGAAATTTGTCAAGAACCTAGCACAGTGGTTCATATAGTAGATTTTCAACATATAACCTCTACCTTCAACTTTTCCCGCCTCTCTCTACTTGCTTAATTAGTCAGAACTAAAGCATTTCAAACACAGGACTTTCATGTGCAATAAGCATACTTCAGACGATTTTCTTTCAAGGATTGATTATAGAATTTTTCAAATGTACACAAAAGTAGAGAGAATAGCTTATGAATCCCCATCGAGTCATCATCAATTTCAAGAATTACCAATGTTTTCCCAACCTTGTTTCATCTATCTTCTACCAACTTTGTTTGTTTTACCAGATTGTTTTAAAAGAACTTCCAAATATCCTGTCTTTCACCTATAAATACCTCAATACATCTTCTTAAAAAAATTTTTTATGGAAGTATAGTGATAGAAAATGTTGTGTTTCAGGTATACAGCAAAGTGATTCAGTTTTATATATACATATATATGTATATAAACATATATATATATTCTTTTTCAGATCTTTTCCATGATAGGTTATTACAAGATATTAAATATAGTTCCCTGTGCTATAGGTCCTTGTCGTTTATCTATTTTATATATAGTAGTGTGTGTCTGTTAATCCCAAACTCCTAACTTATCCCTCCCCCCCGCCTTAACCAGTTGACAAACAGTTTATGTAAAGGGCCAAGCAGTAAATAGTTCACACTTGGCAGGCAGCCCTCTCTCTGTTGCAACTACCCACCTCTGCTGTTGCAGCACGAAAGTCGCCGTAGACAGTATGCAAGGCCATGGGCAGGATGTGTTCCAATAAAAGTTTATTTTTATTTGCAGCTATTGTTTGCTTTTACCCTTGCTCTAGCAGATAAGGGTTTTTTAAAAATCATAACGAAAATACCATTATCATAGCAAATGAAATTAATGAAAGGTTCTTAATATCAACTAATAGCAGGTTCCTTTTATTAAAAATCTCCCTAGCTGTTTCAAAAAAATATTTTACATTAGTTTTTTCAAGTCGGGATCCATAAAGGTCCATATGCTTACACATGCCTGAAACATCACTCTAGTCTCTTTTAACCTATACCGTTTCACCCATACACACTTTTTTCCCATGACATTTATGTGTGGAAGAAATTGAGTCATTTTTCCTACATAGTTCCTCAATGAATTTAGCTGATTGAATATTCATGGTTATGTTTAATTTGTTCTTATATTTTCCATATTTCCTGGAATTTGGTAGTTAGACCCAGAAGATAATTAGAGTCAGGTTTAATATTTGCCCAAGATAATTTATGTAGCCAGTCTCCCAAAGGAGAATTTAGATGTGGAGAATAATACACTGAGATTCCAGCTCCAGTGATCAGTAATGAGACTAGGTTATAATTGCACACTTGGCATTAGTTTTAATCACCCACTCCCACCTCAAACCCCCAGAATGACAGAAAATTACTTCTACAAAGAATTGGGAAACAGGAAAGAATATCCTCGGTGAACTGGAAATTATGAGACAATTCTGAAAGACAGAAAACAGATGGGATCAGACTAAAAGAGAGAATAGTAGCCCAAAGCAATTGTAGAAGAGGACTGATGGAAAAGGTAGGAAGGGTTCTGGGGGAGCTCCAAGCTCAGAAGGAGCAGATGAAGGGGCAAGAGAGAATCTTAGCGTTAATCAACACTAGGGTGGAGGCTACCGTTGCCAATGAGAGTACACAGACTTAGGGGGAACGGAGCCAGCTCAAACCCTGGCCTGGCTCTGCCTCTGACCAAGGCTGAGGCAGCCATTGCCAGCACGCACATTCCTGCCCACACTTGGGAGGAGGGGAACTAGCTCCAGGTAGGAGACCACCGAAACCAGCGGGAGCGAAACCAGCTGAGTAGTGTGGCAACAGCCTCACTGGCCCTGACCCAGCCTCTAACCAAGTCACACATACCAGGGAAAAAGTGAAGCCAGCACAAAAGTGCAGCCCCAAACCCTCAGGCCCTGGCTGTGATGCAAACCAAGGGAGAGACTACCACCACATCTGGGAAAAACCCAACTCCCTCAGGGCTCCTGCTTCAGCCCCTTGGGTCCCAACTCCACTCCCAACAGGGTGACAACAGCCACTGAGCATAGGAGAAGCTCCAGCTTGCACCTGCCTCTGGCTCTAGCTGCTCCAGCTCTACCTCCTACCAAGGTGGGGCTGCCAGCACACCTGTGGGAAGACATGCTCATTTCAGATCCAGCTCTCCCACCAAAGCCACTGGGTACCAGGGACTGTACAGGATGCTCCATTCAAGGACACCCCTTCAAGACCACAATAAGTAACTGTTTCACTAATTTCATGGGGACAGAGGAAGTTAAACAAATTGAGAAGACAAAGGAATTTGTTTAAAATGAAGGAACAAGAAAGAAAAAAACCCAAATGAAGCAGAGATAAATAATTTACCAGATAAAGAGTTCAAAGCATTAGTAATAAGAATGCTAACTGAACTCGGGAAAAGAATAGATGAACACAGTGGAAATTTTGACAAGGAACTAGAAAGTATAAAAAAGAACCAGTCATCACTGAAGAATACAATAACTAAAATGAAAAATATACTAGAAGGAATTAACGGCAGATTAGTTGATACAGAAGAACACATAAGTGACCTAGAAGACAGAATAATGGAAATCACCCAATCAGAATACAATAAGAAAAACAAATTTTAAAAATGAGGATACATAAGGATAGCTTAAGGGACTTCTGGGACAAATCAATCATACTAACGTTAGCATTATAGCGGTCCCAGAAGGAGAGGAGAGAGAGCAAGGGGTAGAAGGTGTATTTAATGAAATTGTGGCTGAAAACTCTCTGAACCTGAGGAAAGAAATAGATTTCCAGGTACAGGAAGCACAGAGAGTCATCAAGCAAGATGAATCCAAAGAGACCCGTATAAGACATCTCATAATTAAAATGACAAGAGCTGAAGAGAATTTTAAAGGCAGCAAGAGAAAAACAGAGTCACATATAAGGTAACCCCCATAAGGCTAACCACTGATTTTTCTGCAGAAACTTTGCAGGCCAGAAGGGAGTGGCATGACATATTTAAAGTTTTAAAAGGGAAAACCTACAACTTAAGATACTATACCTTCAAGGTTATCATTCAGAATTGGAGAGATAAAGAGCTTCTCAGAAAAGCAAAAACTAAAAGAGTTCATCAGTACTAACCCAACCTTAAAAGAAGTGTTAAAGGGGCTTCCCTGGTGGCGCAGTGGTTTAGAGTCTGCCTGCCGATGCAGGGGACACGGGTTTTTGCCCCGGTCCGGGAAGATCCCACGTGCCGCGGAGCGGCTGGGCCCGTGAGCCATGGCCACTGAGCCTGCGCGTCCAGAACCTGTGCTCCGCAACGGGAGAGGCCACAACAGTGAGAGGCCCGCGTACCACAAAAAAAAAAGAAAAGAAAAGAAATGTTAAAGGGTCTTCTTTAAGTGAAAAAAGAAAAGGCTACAACAAAATATAAGAAATCATAGGAAAGGAAAAATTCCACTGGTAAAGGCAAATATATAGTAGAGGGTGTGGATCAACCACTTAAATAAGCTAGTATGAAGGTTAAAAGACAAAAATTATAAAATCAACTATAACTACAATAAATAGTTAAGGGATAAACATGAAAATGTAGAATATGATATCAAAAACACAAAATGGGGGAAGAGAGTAAAAAATGTAGATCTATTAGAATGTGTATGAACGTAAATGATTACCATTTTAAAACTAGTAGATATAGTTATAGTTCAATGTATATGAAGTCCACGGGAACCACAAATCTAAAACCTATAATAGATACACAAAAACCAGAGAGAAAGGAACACAAAGATAACACAAAAGGAGTCACCAAACCACAGAGGAAGAGACTAAAAGAAGGAAAGAACAGAGGAGAACTACAAAAACAATGAGAAAACAAGTAACAAA